AATTAGTCGCATGTGGCGGTCAAGCACACTCGTGCTCCTTCTGCAGCCGACTGTACTACAGTCTGTAGACGTCAGCTGCATCTGGCGTCCAGGAGCCGGCGTTCAGGGCAACGGATCTCGACGACATGATGTGTCCCCATTGCATTAACGTTTACCACTTTCTTGGTGACTGACAGCCCAACCGACTCCTGGTTGCACCTCGACGACACTTTACCAACAACTGCCGCGATATTTGAGAACAACCCCGAGAAGACATCCTCCCTCCACCTCATTATTCTTTCACCGCTCTTCGCTGCAAACTACCGACCAGCAACCAAGCAACCAACCGTCAAACTTCGATACTCAACTACTCCATCCTCAACATGGTCAACGTCATCTCCGTCTTCACCGTCGCAGTCGCCGCCGTGGCTTCCGTCGCCTCGGGCGCTTCCATGCGCTCCGAGGCCGCCCCCATGCCCACCGGGTCGTGGCCTGCCAGCAAGGGAACGGTCTATCTGAAGGAGCCGTACACGGTCAAGAAGGGCCGGACATTCGACGGTGGCATGAAGACGTACGCGCGCTCGAACGTCAAGTGCGGTGGCCAGAAGGAGAGCGGGTGGCAGTCGGCCGTGTTCATGGTGGAGCCCGGTGCCACGCTCAAGAACGTGATCATCGGCAAGGACCAAATGGAGGGCGTGCACTGCGAGCAGAACGGCTGCACGATCCAGAACGTGTGGTGGGAGGACGTGTGCGAGGACGCGCTGAGCATCAAGGGCGGCTCGGCCAGCAGCGTGACCAAGATGATCGGCGGTGGCGCGCGCTCGGCCGACGACAAGGTCATCCAGCACAACGGCCTGGGCACGGTCTCCATCGAGGGCGTCTACGCGCAGGACTTCGGCAAGCTCTACCGCTCGTGCGGCACGTGCGGCTGAAAGTCTCGCAAGGTGAGCCTCACGAACGAACGGCCGTGAACTGCAAGGTGAGCCTCGTGACGATGAACAAGAACTGGGGCGACCAGTCGCGCTCCAGAACATCAAGATCAAGTGCAAGAAGGAA